CAGTTTCTCAATTGTTTGATCTCATTAGCGACTCTATCCTGGATATGAATCGGGACTTTACGTCCTTTAACTTGACGCGGTACCAAAGGGTACTTAAAATTTGTGAACACTGTAATTTTTGGATCTTCCTAATCGACTAAACACATAAGCATATTTCTTGGCGAAGAAGGAACTCCAATAGTCAGAAGTCGGACCTTGACCCTTAACTTCCAGCTGCTGAACGCATTCTACCCTCAGTTGAGTAGTCACCACACCCAGTTGATCTTGCAAATCTAAGCCCAACTGATTTCGGGTTCGATTCTCAGAAACAAGGAAATAAGCCTCCTCTACTTTCCAACCACTAGAAGAGATCGGGAGACTAACTGAGCCGAGAAGACGAATCGGTTTCTTATTATAACCGACATACAGAGTATCTTTAGGGTACCGTGAAATATCACGGAATTGGAAGGACGGGTTGCGTTGAAGTATTAAATCACAAGTTCGTTTGTTGAGGAACGAAACTGGACTTCCAGTATCGACAGTTGAGTAAAAGAAACTCTACCCTGTACGCAACTGAATACTGAGGCTTCTTGGTTTGCCTTTGTTTGACTTTAGGAGCTCAATACTATCAATCCTGACAGCACTTTCCAGTTGCAACACACCGTATTCCGGTTCACTATCGTAATCGGCATCTATAAAATTACACTCGATGAGGGGATCTGCCACTTCCTCACTATCGTCAACCAAAATGACACGCCGTTTTGATGAGTTACAACATTTGGCAAAGTGACGTCGTTTCTTACAAAGGTTACATGTAACCTCTCGAGCTGGACACGAACTTCTATGTTCTGGACTAAAAGGGTTGCCACAGAAATAGCATGCTTTGTTTCCTTTGTTACTTTGCGTTCTTTGTCGGTTGAATTGGTTCTGAGGGGAATTGCGTTTTCCTCGGGACGACTGGATTGAGATAGTAGGCTCTTGTTTAACCTTTATAGTGCTGGAAAATTGATTGTGCGGGAGTAGTTTTTGAAACTGAGCCGACGTACTGTCCCCCTTTTCACACTCCAGGGCGAGTTTAAAAGTGTCATCCAAGTCTACTTTTGCCTTAATCAGTTGTTGCTGGACATCCACATCACGGATTCGTCCGATGAAAAGATCTTTCAAAGTATCCCTCTCCTGAGCATTGTGCCAATTACACAAGGCAATTTGAGCACTGAGACGAGCATAAAATGAAGAGAAGGTATCGTTTTCCAACATGAATATGGTGTTATACAGTTTGATACGCTCGACAGTATAATCACGTTCTATCTTGAACAACGTTTCACAAGCATTGTGAAAATCACGAAAAGGAGTAACACTAATGTCCGTGTGCGGGTAGGAATCAGCGAAACGTCGTTTCCCTTCGTTTCCCAGAGCGAAAAACAATCGTGACTTCAGCCGGGCCTCAGCTTCGTGATAAAACCAGTTCAGGCCAATTCGAGGTCCTTTTCGTCTGCAATCGATATTCAATTCATTGATTCGAAGAACTGCCGCTTGGTCTCTGAGGATCCGGGCATTGGCCCCCCCTGCATCTTCCGTAGCACCGACAGCCTCTGCTCTCGGAGGAGGTTCATCAATGACCTCCGCGGGTTCTACTAATAGATTCTGAGGATTTACATTATCCTTCAGCCCAACTGCCAGGAAGAATTGTCCAATCCAAGATTACCAAAGGAACGGCGGGTTGATCGAAGGTTTCGCACAAAAAGGAGGAATACCTAACAGGTCAGTCCTGTCTTCATTCATAGGAACTGCTGGCTGCGCCATGACATTTGCCGAGATTTAGAGGACAAAACTTGGTTGTTCGTAATAGTAAATTGATTAATTAGTTGTTTAGATTCTTGGTTCCAATTTAATATTTGTTAGTCAAACTCTGACTAAGAGAAAACATTGAATAAAGTTTAGGATTAATATACATCTAGCAAACGATGTATCAAAACAACAGAGTGACCACGCACAGCGTGGCACTCAATATAGGCCAAGCCGGTGGCCTTGAACACAACTGGTAATGAAATCAGCAGCATGGCTGCAAAAAGGCAATTAATAAACGAGGTCTCATGACAACTCTACAGCTGGATCAGGTGAAAAAGTTATGAGTTTATAAAGCTTTGTAAATGTTTTTCTTGTGACAATCAATTTTGTCGGTTTTGTCTGAGTCGTCTTTGTCAAAAATTTACACGTTAAAATTCTCGTTTTTGTAGTTAAGTCAACAGGTAAAAAATGTATGTTATTCGCATCCTAAACATGATGTGCTTTAAACCGTTGACGAAGCCGTTGACGACGCCACTTATAATATTAAACACGGACTTTTCTGATGACAAGGATTGAAAGCGTGAAATTTTTAAACAAGCCAGCATTTTTTAAATAGCCTATGAAGCTTTTTGAATTTCAGGCTTTTTCTAACAAACTTTTGATAACTGTTTTGTTAAAAACTAATAATACTTTCTTGCTTTAGCTTCTGGCATAAGGAAATCTCCCAACTTAGGCTACAATTAATTTCCGAACAATTTCCGGCTATTCTTACTTTACTCTGCTCTCCCTTCAGGGACTCGATCCACTGATTGCGCAAACGGTTTTCCCTGTTTAACACAACCATAACCATTTTCGGACGGCCGATCCTAAATAATTTTAAGGCGCAAATTAATACTAAAACTGCGGGGTAACGCGATAAGAAAAAAAAACATTTTTTTTGTCATGAGCTTTTGATGTGCTGTAATATTTTGACGATGCCAATTTTAATAAATAATTTACACACATAAAAAAGTTACTGAAATCGTCTTTTTTGGCGCTGACTGAAATTAGGGTCTTGATATTTTTTCGAGAACTTGTTTTACTTGATTTCGAAAAAAGAAATCCAAGTAACTTAAGTTTTCAAACTTTATATCCGCCCGGGATTTTACATATTCAATTTACCATGAAATGCTTGTTTTCACATTCAGACAAATTTTACCCCCTTTTATGTTAGCTCAGTAGCTCTATAAAATACAATTTTGGTGCAACATTACAGAGCAAAAAATAACAGACAAACGGTAAACACTGTTTCGCGCTGTCTAACCCAATCATACAGAATGTCAACGCAGAGGAAGGGAACTAAGCGGAGCAAAAATTCACTAACTGTAACAAGACTGCTCGTATCAGGGCGAAGCCCTGAATGTTCGGACTGCCTTTTAAGGTCTATGGAGCAGTAATAAAATTAAAAATTTAAATGTAATGAAATAAAAACTAAAATACTTTTAAAAAAAACTTGAGAATTTTTGTGAAAACATCCCCCCACACGTCTTAGTAAGTACAAAGTGATAGATTTTTCTCCTATTAACAAATCAGTTATGGCAAATAAGCTTCCTTGAACCAATTGGGAACGATTTCTAAGACAAATTAAATCTCGCTTACGCGTTAATAGCGCGAAATATATCGCGCGTTAATTGTCCCAAATTGGCCAAAACGGCAAACTTTAAACCCCCATAACTTGACGAAAAACGATCACAGGTAAAGCATATTTTCAAATTTAAGTTCAGGACAACAATAGCTTTCGAATGATATAGAAACCTCCTTCAAAAATGGCTAGTTAAAAGTCTAATTTATCTGAAGAAAAAAAATCAACCCCGAGCACAAATCATCCGTTACAGTTGTCCTGAGCTTGATTTTTCACCTGTGATTATTTTTCGTAAAATTATGGGGGTTTAAAGATTGCCATTTTGGCCAATTTGGGACAATTAATGCGCGATTTATTTTGCGCTATTAACGTCTAGAGATTTAATCCGTCTTAGAAATTGTTCCAAATTGGTTCAAGGAAGATTATTTGCCATAATTGAATCGTTACAAGGAACAAAATTTAACCTTTTGTTCTTTATATGGCGTGGGGGGTGATGATTTTCATTTAAAAAATTCAAATTAAAAAAAATTCATTTTATTTTATTATTAATACATTTAATTTTTGAAAATTATTACTGCTCCAGAAACCTTAAAAGGCAGTCGGAGCATTGAGGGCTTTGCCTTGATACGAGCAGTCTTGTTGTATTTTGCGTTTTTCTACCATGTATATTTTACCAGAACAAGTTTTTGAGATCTTTTTAAGTTTATCTCCCTATTACCTAAGTAACGAATACCCCCCCCCCCCCCGCCCCCATAAAAAAATAAATCAATGGTGAAGCAAAAAAATCCGAATTTTATACATTTTAACGAATATCCTCTTTTGCAAAAGGTATAATATTTTAAAGAGTAGTTAAAGTGGTCCAGTTTTTGATTTTAAACGTGGTTTTTTTTCGACTTTCGAAAAGATGACAGATTTTTTATGCTTGGAATGAGATTTTTTCTTCAGACAAATTTCAAATTTACAACGAATCACTTTTGAGCAGAATAGTTTTTTTGTCATCTGAAAAAACTTGGCGTAAGAGCTCAAAATAAATGTGTCAATCAATGTCTCCAATCTTTGGAAAATTGGAAAATTGGAAAATTGATACGACTAATTTTGTCAACATTTCAAGTTTAATCGAGCACTATTCATCCGCTTATATCAATATTAAAGTTTGAATGTCATAATTATCATAACCGCAAATAAGTCAGTTTAAAACATCTACCAAACTTTAAATCTAAAACAAATATATTTAGATGATTTTCAATTGACCACAGAGCACTCCATTGAAAATACTTGAAACTGATTGGGCTAAATCAACATCTTACTACCGCATAGGCGAATAAAACAATAATTCTAATCCAAATTTCAAACAAAACGATACTGAACTCGGTTTTCAATACCATCAAGTGGTCGGAACCTATGATACTAGCCTAGGGTCTTTTTGTTGTAAGGCCAAAAACTGATCTTTTTGATTTCCTCAAAACTAGATCATAATGCTCAAAACTGTTCGTTTGATATTAATTACATCAAACTCACATCTGGATATTCATTAAAAACAGATGAGTTTATAAGACAGATTGGTATTTTCAGGCAGCGCAACAGAAAAGATCCCAAGCCTGCTTAGACTTACTTGGTGATTGCGAGGTTCTCTTCGATGGTTTGATTCCACACATCGTGGGCAGGCAGGTCTCCCGTCACCAGAATGTAATCGAACTGCTCCTTGGACAACTTAGCCAATAAGTTCTCCAGAGTCACTTTTGGGGAGTCGCAATCTGAACAGCCTCTATTGGATAATTTCTGCTCCGGCATAAGGGGTAGAGGGGGTTAAAGAAAAAATTTAAAATTAGCTCTCTTTAAAATTGGACTCTCGTAGGATCTTGCTCATTTTCATCATCAAGGGTTAAGTCATCTTTTTTTTTAGCCGAAACGCCTTTTTTTCTTAAGCACCTTTTCAAACGAATTTTTTTGATAACAATGGCCATGTCAAAATTTTTTCTTTGTCTTCTCTTTCTCAACAATGTACCAGCAAGGAAATTTCAAAAAAATAGTATAACTTTTGTTATAATTTAAAATACTAAAAATTAATTGATTAGAAGTGCTAACTCAGGGCTAAAGCAAGACCTTAAACTCTACCGCATTAGCGAGAAAAGGGTTCACTCTAACCAAATTTTCAAATTTGAAGAATAGCTCGGAAAATTCATAAGGTCAACTTGGATAGTTTATTTGTGCTTCCTTGATCGTGGGTGATCATTAGAACGCGAGTGGAAGCAGTGTTCATTTTTTTAAATCTAAAACTCATGTTTTATAGCATTTTGCCCAAAAATGAATTTACGCTTGCGATTAGTAAAAGTTTTCAAATAAGAGCACATACGTTTTTTGAGTTAACAATTTTTTTAACAGATCACTTGGATCATATATTAACTGGATTTGTAATAAATTTGAGTTTTTCAGTTTCTGCGGCACACTTGGCGCAGAATTAATGTGTACGCATGGACGGCAAATGTTGCAGGTGCGAATTGTGCCAGGATTAAATTTTCGGCCTATCATACGTTTAATTATTTTTGTCGGCTTAGCTGCCACATCATGGAGTTTTCTTCTGGTCTAAGTAAATTTAATTCTAGTAGCAAGTGTTTGAGATTTATACCTGTAGTTTGTAATTTCACTAACGCTATCATTGTATACTTTCTTCATTTTTTTGCTTATAACTTTCTTTATTCTGCCTAAATGGTTTTGATTATATTTATTGGTTTAGTAGCCTTAATAAGCTAATATTTTAATGTTACTGTTCCGACTTTCGTAACCAAAGTAATGGAATATTTGTGCTCAGGGTGGGTTTTTTTCTTCACACAACTAGCCATTTCTTCTTCAGACTTTTTAACTAGCCTTTTTTGACGGAATTCTTTATATCATTCAAAAGGTATTGTTGTCCTGAGCTCAAATTTGAAAAAATATTCCACCTGTGATCATTTTTCGTAAAGTTACGAGGATTTAAAGATTGTCATTTTGGTCAATTTGGGACAATTAACGCGCGATATATTTCGCGCTATTAACGCGTAAAAGGAGAGTTAATCCGCCTTATAAATCGTTCCTAATTGGTTGAAAGAAGCTTATTTGCCAATATTGATTTGTTACAAGGAGCGAAAACTATCCTTTTGTACTTTATATGGCGTGAGGGGTGATGATTTTCATAAAACTTTTCAAATTTTAGATTTTTTTTTTTCATTTTGTTTTTATTACTTTTAATTTTTTTATGTTATTACTGCTCCATAAACCTTAAAAGGCAATCATAACTTTCAGCGCTTCGCCCTGATACGAGCAGTCTTGTTAGTTTATAGGCAGCCCTTAGGTTAATAGTAACCTAATAACTTGTAACCATCGGGTATCGACTTAGTAACCTAATTTTTCAATGTCTGAGGGGAAACAGATTTTCAAGACCAGATCACCTCACCTCCGAAATCGCAGAAAATGGGAAAACGGTTAAAATTTGAGAACTTATTTTTTCAAATTTTTTCAGGACACTAATTTTGTTTTTGACTCAGAGGAAATTTTGTCGGCTTGAATGAAAATCAAATTGAGAAAAAAAGCAGTTAGGGCAGCTGCTACCACATAAATATGGCATTGCAAGCTAGCACGCAAACATTTGACGAAAAATCACTATGTTGACCAATTGGAAAAATATAGAATGATGTTTTCAATTTGAGGAAAGCACGTCCAGTAAAACAATTGCCGGTGGAGAATAAGTATTCAGGAATATTTATCGAGCGCCAACTAAGACATATTGAGACACGTATGAAACTTTTGATAGATTTTGTTGTTTCGACTTTTTTCATACAATATTTATAATTGTTACGATTTGTAAGTTTGTGGGCTAGCGTGCCATGCTATATTTGTGTTTCATCGTAACTGTTGCGAAGCTTTGCTTCGCCTTTGTGTAATCATTTGGAGACCGTACTACCACGATAGGAGCATCAATTGAACAGTTTTATCATGGCAATTATTCGTAAATTATGCTGTACCAAAAAACAACCTTGGTTACTTCTTGTTATCACAAATGAATGAGTTTGGCTGCCGCCATCCTCGATGTGGTTGCCATCAAAGTTCGCACCTTCGGACGATCGGTCCAATATGGATCTTCTGAAATAAAAACTTTACATCCCCCAGTCCCCCTTCCACTCCCCCCCCCCCAGAAATCCGCAACAGCCACAGTTGACGTCACAAGAACAAAACTGGTCTTGGTTAAAGACTAAACAACTAACTTTAGTTTTTATTTCGGTTTATTCTAACATAACAACTGAGAACATACAAGCGAGGCTGCCGTATTTGCCGGCCACGTAGAAGTAGGAGATGGGTTCCCCGTCTATGTCTCTGCAACACATGGGCTCCTCGCAGTGTGCATTAGACCCCTCCGAGTACAGCCTGTCCAAGTGAATGTCTGTCAAGTGCAACACTTTGTGCATCTCAGTACCCTAGAAGGATTAAAATTTGAGAAAAAAATAGGGATTTAAATTTGACTGGGGATATAACCAGAGAACCCCAAATGTATTAAGTTGCTGTGAAGTAGCCAAAAACAACTACTCAGAGTCCCCAACCCTTTCATACACTGATTGGGATTATTTTGGGTTGACCAAAAAAAATTACGACCTTCTCCAAAAAGTTTTTAAATTACATTTTAGAAAATTTTGCGACGTTGGCAAGTTTTGAGAAAACAAGCAAAAATGCCGTATTTGAGCAATTTTAGACAATTTTAGTCAGCTAAAATTTGTTGCATTTTTGCGCCAAAGGGGTTTTTTCAAAATTGTAAAATTGGTCGGCCGAAAGAAAATGCCGTTAAGATAGTACCAAAGTGTGACTCTTTGAGAGGTCAGAGTATCGATTTTTTGAAAAAAAAAACATACGCTACCGCTACCGCGCGCTCATGGTTTATTTCACACATTTCGAAGTATTTTTGATATTTTTGATATAGTTATTACTATAAAAGTTACTTTTTTCCGATTTTCCGATCTCTGATTTTTTCCGATTTTCCGATTTCTGATCTTTTTGATATAGTTATTACTATAAAAGTTACTTTTTTCCGATCTCTGGTTTTTCCGATTTTTTTCCTTTCCTTTTATTCATTTACAAAAAATGATCTTTTTAACCACAATAAACAGCAAAATGACTGCAATCAAATTTTAATTGATTAGTGTTATATAAAACGAATTTTTAGACATTCAGAGCTTTCAAACAGTGTGTCGAAAAACAGGGCAGCGTTTTTATAAATATCAGCAGTGAACAGTTCAAACTACTCATTGTGACTCACTGCGGGGGGCTGAGTGGGTGGCAGGTATTGTGGGCGGGGCGTGGGGGGGAAGTTGAGAGTCCAGGTGGGGGTGGGGACGGTGGGCGTGGCACAGCTGTTTCCGTAAATGAGTCCACACACCTCCTGTGGTGTCAGCACGTAATTCTCCGCCAGATAAACGACTGAAACAAAGACTGCAACGGTAATGGAGCCGAAAATGGAAGAGCGATTAGAGCAATTTCGAAAGGCGGCAGATGTAAAAAAAAATCAAATGTTTGAACTTCTGAGCACCCCTTCTTAAGCTTCAAATTGACCCAAATCATGCAAAAATAAATCAACAGTATGAAATCACGATTAGATTTGTTTTTCCAAAAATTGGGAGAGAAAATAATTTCCCCAAAAATATCTTTGAGAGAATTATATTATACTTCCTTCAATAGGGTGATAAAGTTGTCGAAAGAGCCCGTGCCCCCCCTTTAAATTCACCACTGCTAATAAAACCACTGGCGTAATTAGAACACCAAAGCATCGAGTGATTTTTGTAGATTACTAATTTTTCGCGGTTTCGCTCACATCAAATATTATTTTTTGAAGAACAAGAACTAAATAAGAAAAGGCCATCTTTTGTAATTTCTAAATCAATTTACTTTGACGAAAAATCCTTTCCAACCAAAATATCATATAAAAAGTGTCATAAAATTACAACTCCACGATATCCCATTTCCAATAAAAGCGTTATCTAGAAAACACTGGCGAGGAAAATTTTTAGATAGATTCTCAAAAAAAACTTGTCCGAATTTTTTTCTATGTCTAAACTTAAATTTTTACGCGCATAAGAGGATTTCACCGGATCATTTCTTGTAGATTCATATGATGTCATTTAGTTTCCAGCTGATGTCTTGAGATGATGCGGGATCATTAAGGAATCTTAATACCTTTCACCTTAACAAAAAAAAACAGAGAAACCAATACGAGACAAAAAAAATTCACCTTGTTGCATTTTTGCGCCAAAGGGGTTTTTTCAAAATTGTAAAATTGGTCGGCCGAAAGAAAATGCCGTTAAGATAGTACCAAAGTGTGACTCTTTGAGAGGTCAGAGTATCGATTTTTTGAAAAAAAAAACATACGCTACCGCTACCGCGCGCTCATGGTTTATTTCACACATTTCGAAGTATTTTTGATCTTTTTGATATAGTTATTACTATAAAAGTTACTTTTTTCCGATTTTCCGATCTCTGATTTTTTCCGATTTTCCGATTTCTGATCTTTTTGATATAGTTATTACTATAAAAGTTACTTTTTTCCGATCTCTGGTTTTTCCGATTTTTTTCCTTTCCTTTTATTCATTTACAAAAAATGATCTTTTTAACCACAATAAACAGCAAAATGACTGCAATCAAATTTTAATTGATTAGTGTTATATAAAACGAATTTTTAGACATTCAGAGCTTTCAAACAGTGTGTCGAAAAACAGGGCAGCGTTTTTATAAATATCAGCAGTGAACAGTTCAAACTACTCATTGTGACTCACTGCGGGGGGCTGAGTGGGTGGCAGGTATTGTGGGCGGGGCGTGGGGGGGAAGTTGAGAGTCCAGGTGGGGGTGGGGGTGGGGACGGTGGGCGTGGCACAGCTGTTTCCGTAAATGAGTCCACACACCTCCTGTGGTGTCAGCACGTAATTCTCCGCCAGATAAACGACTGAAACAAAGACTGCAACGGTAATGGAGCCGAAAATGGAAGAGCGATTAGAGCAATTTCGAAAGGCGGCAGATGTAAAAAAAAATCAAATGTTTGAACTTCTGAGCACCCCTTCTTAAGCTTCAAATTGACCCAAATCATGCAAAAATAAATCAACAGTATGAAATCACGATTAGATTTGTTTTTCCAAAAATTGGGAGAGAAAATAATTTCCCCAAAAATATCTTTGAGAGAATTATATTATACTTCCTTCAATAGGGTGATAAAGTTGTCGAAAGAGCCCGTGCCCCCCCTTTAAATTCACCACTGCTAATAAAACCACTGGCGTAATTAGAACACCAAAGCATCGAGTGATTTTTGTAGATTACTAATTTTTTCGCGGTTTCGCTCACATCAAATATTATTTTTTGAAGAACAAGAACTAAATAAGAAAAGGCCATCTTTTGTAATTTCTAAATCAATTTACTTTGACGAAAAATCCTTTCCAACCAAAATATCATATAAAAAGTGTCATAAAATTACAACTCCACGATATCCCATTTCCAATAAAAGCGTTATCTAGAAAACACTGGCGATGAAAATTTTTAGATAGATTCTCAAAAAAAACTTGTCCGAATTTTTTTCTATGTCTAAACTTAAATTTTTACGCGCATAAGAGGATTTCACCGGATCATTTCTTGTAGATTCATATGATGTCATTTAGTTTCCAGCTGATGTCTTGAGATGATGCGGGATCATTAAGGAATCTTAATACCTTTCACCTTAACAAAAAAAAACAGAGAAACCAATACGAGACAAAAAAAATTCACCTTGTTGCATTTTTGCGCCAAAGGGGTTTTTTCAAAATTGTAAAATTGGTCGGCCGAAAGAAAATGCCGTTAAGATAGTACCAAAGTGTGACTCTTTGAGAGGTCAGAGTATCGATTTTTTGAAAAAAAAAAACATACGCTACCGCTACCGCGCGCTCATGGTTTATTTCACACATTTCGAAGTATTTTTGATCTTTTTGATATAGTTATTACTATAAAAGTTACTTTTTTCCGATTTTCCGATCTCTGATTTTTTCCGATTTTCCGATTTCTGATCTTTTTGATATAGTTATTACTATAAAAGTTACTTTTTTCCGATCTCTGGTTTTTCCGATTTTTTTCCTTTCCTTTTATTCATTTACAAAAAATGATCTTTTTAACCACAATAAACAGCAAAATGACTGCAATCAAATTTTAATTGATTAGTGTTATATAAAACGAATTTTTAGACATTCAGAGCTTTCAAACAGTGTGTCGAAAAACAGGGCAGCGTTTTTATAAATATCAGCAGTGAACAGTTCAAACTACTCATTGTGACTCACTGCGGGGGGCTGAGTGGGTGGCAGGTATTGTGGGCGGGGCGTGGGGGGGAAGTTGAGAGTCCAGGTGGGGGTGGGGACGGTGGGCGTGGCACAGCTGTTTCCGTAAATGAGTCCACACACCTCCTGTGGTGTCAGCACGTAATTCTCCGCCAGATAAACGACTGAAACAAAGACTGCAACGGTAATGGAGCCGAAAATGGAAGAGCGATTAGAGCAATTTCGAAAGGCGGCAGATGTAAAAAAAAATCAAATGTTTGAACTTCTGAGCACCCCTTCTTAAGCTTCAAATTGACCCAAATCATGCAAAAATAAATCAACAGTATGAAATCACGATTAGATTTGTTTTTCCAAAAATTGGGAGAGAAAATAATTTCCCCAAAAATATCTTTGAGAGAATTATATTATACTTCCTTCAATAGGGTGATAAAGTTGTCGAAAGAGCCCGTGCCCCCCCTTTAAATTCACCACTGCTAATAAAACCACTGGCGTAATTAGAACACCAAAGCATCGAGTGATTTTTGTAGATTACTAATTTTTCGCGGTTTCGCTCACATCAAATATTATTTTTTGAAGAACAAGAACTAAATAAGAAAAGGCCATCTTTTGTAATTTCTAAATCAATTTACTTTGACGAAAAATCCTTTCCAACCAAAATATCATATAAAAAGTGTCATAAAATTACAACTCCACGATATCCCATTTCCAATAAAAGCGTTATCTAGAAAACACTGGCGAGGAAAATTTTTAGATAGATTCTCAAAAAAAACTTGTCCGAATTTTTTTCTATGTCTAAACTTAAATTTTTACGCGCATAAGAGGATTTCACCGGATCATTTCTTGTAGATTCATATGATGTCATTTAGTTTCCAGCTGATGTCTTGAGATGATGCGGGATCATTAAGGAATCTTAATACCTTTCACCTTAACAAAAAAAAACAGAGAAACCAATACGAGACAAAAAAAATTCACCTTCAGTGTTCTATAAAAGTATGTTTTATCAACAGGCAAATCAGGGGCGGATCTAGGATTTTCTCGAGGGGGGCGGATTTTCAAAAAATTTTTGAAAATTTTGTCGACCTTTTTTTTAAGTCGGCCAAATTGATTTCTGAGCTCTCCCCAAGCACTACAAAGACCCAGTTTTAGCGAAATTTCTGAATTTCAGCGCCGCAGGCTAAATTTTGAAAAAACAGGCCAGAAAATTGCGTTTTTTCGGCGCGCGCCCCCTCAAAATTAGTATATATTGGCACCAAAGACGCCTTTAGAGAAATTTAAGGATCCGTAATCAAAAATGGATATCTCAAAATAGTACAAAGGGGGGACTCTTTGGGTCGGCAGGGGGTCGAATCCCTGAGGGGGGGGGGCTTTAAATCCGCGCCTGAGGCAAATGCTTCTGTGCCGCTAATCAAGACCTACTGGAAACGATGCCTTTGATTACATTTTTGTATTGCAATTATTATCGAAGCTACGAGCCAGGACCATTGTTGGCCTCGAACCACCGACAGTTCCACTTAAAGGCGGTGACGAGTTTTTATTTTTTTATTTTAGTTTTGCGGTGAACTTGTATTGTTTGTGCTCAAAAGAGTCTCTAAAAAAATTCTAACAGGGCCTTAATACGACAAAACTTTAAGACGAGTTAAGAATGTGTCATTCTCTAATTGGTAAAATGTTTTTCAAATTTACCCAGCCTGAAAAAGCTTATTCAGTGTCTTTCTAAGTTTTCTAAGTTCCTTAATTAACTGTCGTCAGATTAGCCGACCCGACCACCTTCACAATATTCGTAATATTAACGAATGTAATAGATGATTTATGGATCTTTGGCTCATCAGTCCATAGAAATCAGTTTTTTTTTGTTTTTTTTTCCCTCTTAAACCATTCTCTTCAGTGCACCCCCGCCCCATTGCCAGACCTGTGGGTCCCCACTCCTGCACCCCCATGACACACACTCTGGGACTCATGATGGCATCCAGAATACATAGAACACTTGCAAACACATACGTGTAGTCCTTTAGTTTGTCATTCTTCAGGATCGAGTCCAGTATTGGTGCCACGGCCAGACAAAAATCGCACTCCTGATATTCGGGAAAAAATAAAACCAGTCCAGATATTGTTAACATAGATTAACATTCAGATATTAAAGACCATCGATTAAAAAGCGTCGAAATTTTCTTATGCAAAATATTGAAAATTTTATAGGTAGCTTAGCTAGCAGATCCGATTTTGTGCAACTAACTAACATCATTTATCCACGAGGGATAGGACCAACATACGAGCTGTACAGCTCATCACGGCGAACCGCTGTTGTGCCCCTGCTTAAGAACTACATGCAATTTTTTTGGTTATTTTTCTGGGCTGGGTAATGTTGCCTCACCCTCAAGCAACTAACAGAGAACTTTGCGATTTCAGAAAAATATTCAAAAATACGGAAAATTTGCGAAACAAATGTAAGATTTGAATAATTTTGAAAAATCAAAAATTAAGTAAATTGATGGAATGGGGGGTTAATAATAGCTGATATAATATGAACTTAATTCTAAGTATATTGAGTAATCTCGGGTAATTAAGTCGGAAAACGAAATTGTTCAGACTAGTTTTTGTCAAAAACATGACACTACGTTTTTTCTTTTTTAGGCGGAATTGGAATTACCAACATGTACTTAACCTGATACACACTTGACCCGGTACAAGTCTTCACTGAGATAGTAAAAATTGGGATGAAAAAACACACCCTACACCATAGATCTTTCCGTGGTAGTCGGAACACTCAGTGCTCGATATCTGATTAATCGGTGGTTTGAATGAACTTTTATTGTACCGTGTTTCTTCGATTCTAAAACTAAAATACCGTTTAATTTCGTAACTTGTAGTCTTTTTAATTTAATTACTTGTTCCTATTATACAATCACTTCGAAACGCAAAAAAAAATGATTTTAATAAACGGTGTTTTTGACCAACTCAAATTTAAGTGTTAGCGTCTTAGTTTTGAGTGGGCATTGTGACAATTGTTCAGCTGACTGGTTGTGTTTCTTCCCCTGTCTTTTACTCGTGCAGCACGAGCCGCAATTTGGTCAAGAGTTTCACGGTACAAAGGGTCATTTTCCTTCACAATTCTCCCCAAAATATACTCAAGGTCAATGTTTTGCTCCTCCTTTAAAAGATAGTTAGTAAGCTCCTGTTCTAAGCCCGGCTTAGGAATATGTCTAGCAGTTATTGGGCTTAGACAATCAACGTGTAAAGTGTAAATTATAAGCAAAACAGATGCCGATAAATATTGACAAATCATTGTGAGTTCGAATTTTTTTTAGAACAAAATGTTTCTGGACGAGCTTTAATGATTAATCTTCAAAACTGCAAATTATGCTAGTTAAACGGATGCGATAAATAAATTGAACGTCGGGTTATTTTGTTTAGCTGGTGTGACTTAAACGATCGACTAATTGATAAATAAAAAGTTTCACAGCGATATTGAAGTCAAATCGGTAAAAGCAAATAGCAATTGATTCTTAAGACTTTAAGATAGTTGATAATAATCACAACATTGTCAATCATTTGCCAAAAGTAGTAAGTTTGAAACAATACAACAAATACCCCACCCAGACGTTGAAGGGCATCCAAGCTAAATTTACGAGAGAACGCCCTTATGAAAACTATGGTTTGATTCGTTTTCCGGCTTGCGTTTGTCAATTAATTTAGCCAATGAAGGTTGTCGGACGACATGTAATGCCACGTTTGCAAACCAAGTTATTTTGTTCGACTAAAACAATCAGAAGAAAGGTTTTTAATTCTACCGTGACCGACAAATCGGTTGATGAGATTGTGTTGACTTTATCACTCCATTGACTTAGGTGTAGATTTGAACTCCGTAGACATTGTCCCTGGACCACCTAGTTCGCCGAAGCTTCCAGACAACCCTGCAAATGCTTGATGTCCAAAAATTACTGGAATCGAAAGACATGATTTAAAAAAGTAGGCATTAAACTTGATTGGCGAGAAATATCTGTTGACAGCCAAAGTGGACTTTCAGTCGAATGTTTAGTCGGGCACGTTTGGTGATTAGTCGCTGCACTCCTCAGTTTTTGAGTGGAGCCAGTAATTAATTTACTTTTATTTTTGATGTGTTCCACGGTGTGCGTCTGTAGTTTTCCACGATTTTTCAATGGTCTGAAAATTTTTCGACAATTTTTTGAACATTTTAACCATCTCATTTCAGTTGCTATGTAAAGTACAAAGTGATGTAATCAGCAAGTAGCAAAATTAAATAGCCTGCCTTAAATAAAATTGTATCCAAATCTAAAACTGGTTATATCTCAGCTTTGGCGTGAAAGCACAAAATGTGTCGCAGGCTGACTGTCCCAAATTGGCCAAACTGGCTATCTTTGAACAAAAAAAGACAACTGGCAAAATATGTTTTTGAAATTCAGCTCATGACAAAAAATCCTTTTGGATGGAAAAGACAATTCCGTCACACATATTTAATCAAAAAGACAAAATTTTTCTGGCAAAAAACTACCCGAGCACAGATATTGCGTCATTTTCTAAGAAAGTCGCAACAAAAGTCTTGTTGCTCCGATTTTCAAATAAAAGCGGAATGTTTACACTTGGGTGGGTTTTTTTCATCCATTTTTCACCTTTTTAACTAAAAATTTATAAACAAAATTTATAAAAATCGTAAGCCGTCTTTTGTATCTCCAGAGTACAAAATCACCTGTGATTATTTTTCGTAAACTTATGGATCAAATGCTAACGCGTAAGCGACGGAATATTGCGCTCCAAGTTAGGCTGAGGCATATTACGTGGTGCTATTCTCACCTCTTGTATCACGCAGTGTATCTTGTCGAAACCTTGTCATCTCTTGATTCTCGTCTCTAGACACGTCAATCGTCCCCATAATCATCGCCACCATGTGGAGCTTCTTGACTTCCAACATCTCTAGAGAGGCCAAGGCATGGCTGTTCTAAAAAAACTCAAGACTCCTATCTGCCAGTGAGCTCTCATTCATCGAATATCAAGTGGAGACTGTCATCGAATCTCAAGTAAATCGCGCCTTTGGGTATTTTTGTCTTGGTCAAGTAACCTACCCAAACCGAATCTTCGAATGCATCACTTCTTGTGTGTTCAGCCGTGGTCCAATCCCTGATTTTACGCCTGTAAGAATTACCGTTCGCGTCTTTTTTGTAATTGGAGACGATCAGATCTCGTACGTGTGTAGCCTCCAAGTTCTGTGTTTCCCTTCAGGGTTAGTGCTCTCGGGCGTTCTGGTTCGCAACCTCTCTTGTAGTTCTTTCAAACGTGACGTCCCTGAACTTCCTTGGCTGCCGCTGGCTGGTATTAGATTAGACAGTGTGGAATGTTCTGGCCGAAGCTTGGCCTGACTCATTTCAAGGTCCCTCATGGACGGTGTCGTCTCGGGAGGCGTCCACGCCTCCACGTCCGTATTCATCTGTTACTGAGCTGTCTGGTTCAAGTTAAACTGTCCTGTTGCTCTCGGTGTCTAGTCGACGTCCATCCTGGGTTCTGGCCTAGAGCAAGTTGCCAGGGACTGACTCGGTGCCAGCAGTACTGCTATTTTTCTCCAAGTTTTGATGGCTTCTCGATATAGCCTCTGCTCTTGTTCCAACTGTAGTTTCAATTGATCACGTTCTCGCGTAACTTGATCTCGTTTTCGCAATTTTTGTTCCCGCTCGCTTGGGGTCCTTCTAGGTCCTTATTCAGTGCGGCGGTATCCGGATAATCAACTCCGGTCTGCTAAGTTCGGATCATTGAAGACGCCCTTCATGCAGTGTGAGCTCCGCTCTTAGTCGCCGGCCCGATTTGGAGCGGGAATTCCCCGAATCCATTATCTGTGATATTTTTTAAGCCAAGTTTTTTGTAATATCATACCCTCTGCAGCCTCCATCCGGGCTCCAAGACATTCACCTGGTATGATACTTCAGATATTCTTTCAGCAGTGCATTCCACTATCAATAGCGTTTTTATTAATGAATCTCTCCCCCGCCTCGCAACTCCAGCTGTAATGCGGCGTTCAGCATCACCGCCATTCATTCATTCATCTGCGTATAGTCATGGTCCCTCGAACGCTTATACAAATTATCCAATACCAGCCTATTCAAGGCCACTGGCACTGAACTCTGGAAACGAACTGACATACCACAGGGTTGCCAACTCAAGATTACCAACTCAAAATTATCAACTCAAATGTACCAAATCAAGATTACCAATTTTCGAAACAATCAGCTCAAGAAGTTCAAACGTAAGGGTTTTGTGATAATTAACCGTCTTCGTGTAGTTCTCGGATGTTCTTCAGTTTTCGTCTCACTTTTTTGAGTCTCGTAGTCCTTCACTTTTTTTGATTTTTCTTGTAAAACATTACTCAAATAGAAAGAGTCTTAGTTATGACAACCATATCTGCATGAGTTGCCTCTCTCTCGAAGAACGAGTGGGCAACCTTCAAAAAAAACTACAGCTTGTGTCAGCCAAAATTTTCTTTAAAATATCTATTTTCTGAGTTCTAGTCAACAATGTACAAATTTGAAGTCAAATTATATAATTATAAAATAACACCTAATAGATTTTCTAGAGATTCAAGCATCTAAATTGTACTACCATGAAACTACGTACAAGTGTAGCCTTATATTGTCCCTTACGATATCAAGCCCCCTTCGGATCATATCCCATTTGTAGGTTCAATGGGAGCTAAAGACTCAGGCTCAACTGATGTGATCTCAAGACATCCCATTCTACCCCTCCTCATTGCGGTCGCAGGCTCACGTCACCCTAGTTGGTTCTTAGGCAGTTTAAAGCAATAGTTTTTGTGGTGGTGTTTCAATTTTTTCCGTTTCGGCGAAGATCACGTGCCGGATGGCGTAGAGTTCTCTTGGATTCAATCGGCCTCTGTTTGAATCGTAGACCTGCAGTGAAACTTTTTTACTACTTTTTCGACCAGAAAATCCCTGAGCCAAGTCAATGCTAATACGATGTGCTATGAATCCACCGTTTTCTATTCGCTATTTCTCGTTTTTAAGAAGCACAGATTTTTTCAAAGAGTTTGCGACATTATGGGAGGGAAACCCGGTCTCTGTCTGATCAGGAACACCACATTCTGATTTTCCTATTGAACTCCGCGTCTAACCTTGTTTTGAAGCACATGTCCGCCGCTTTTCCGTTCGCGCTTGTCTTGTCGTACAGAATAAAGTCGCAATCCAAAGTCAAGATATTCTCCGACTGGTCATTTTAAACTTCTGTTGTGGGTAAGTCCTACCACAACTCCCCGGTAGATCGCTCGAAGTTCCTTGAGTGGTTGGTTCGTAGCCGTCTAACTGAACTCCGAATTTTTCTCCCGACTGTGTTCTTATGGAGGCCTCTACTTGCTGCACAGTCCAATCTTCTTCTCCACTCGTCGGTAGGTCGTGCATTTATTCTAGTACTCTCAAGTTTATTTGTCCCTTTCTTTCTGCCTCGCTTTTCTCTAGATATCTCTCGTCTTCCTGTTGCTGTGTTTCATCGGCCAGTAAGTTTCATCATCCTGATATGATAATATGCCATTCAAGATTATATGCCATTCATGATCGATTTTCACCTATCCTATTCCCAGTAGATCTGTGCTTAGTTGTTCTGGCTCTTTTGTATCAATTTTGAGGTTATCTCCATATCTTTTCTAGACCGTACTTGTTTTCTTTCGTTCCCTTCTTCTCGTGTTCATTGTTAGAGGGTTGTCAATTTCTACAACCTTTTGCAATTCATCTGGTTTCGGCTCTTTCCAGTCGTCATCTTCATAGGAACCTTAATCCGAGTTCATTTCATTTCAGTCTCTCAAGCTTTAGGCCTCTTTGTCGTAATTTTTCTCCCTCGTTCCTTTCTCAGTCAGTTCACAAGTTTGATCACTAGTTATTTCAAAACACCAGTCCTCTGGCGATGTGATGTGCGGTTTTATTTTTGCATACTGTGCCGCGCTTTTCTGATGCTTAAGCGATAGAAACTACCTGGTAGGTGTACCTCAGTAATTGCAAAAGGTACTCTTTACTTCTTCAGCAATGTTTTTGTCCTTTTCGGTGGAATGATGTTTTGGAATACCAATACATATTGTCCTACTGCGTATGGCTTTGCCTCCAGGTTTTTCTGATCGCTTTTCCTTCGCTGACGCAACTGGGCATGGTCATCGTTCGTCTGCACAGATTCATTATTTTTTTCGTTGTCTCTGGAAAGTTTTTCTTAGGTACGCCTGGGTTGAATTTTTCTATCCCACATATTCCGGATGGTAAAACCTTGATGACATTGCTCCTTCCCTTCCCGTCAGTGCCATAAAAATACTGATGATAGTAGTTGCGCGCTGTGTTGTTTTGTAAGCTCCAACCACGTGAGGTATGTATTTGTCCCAGTCTGCCATCTATCTAGAGCATTATCTCCTCAGCATGTTTTGTCTTTCTTAAAAGTCATTTGTTTGCGGGTGATAAGTTATTGATTGGTCTTGAGAGACATCTG